AAGTTGGAAAAGCCTGATATAAGCGTCAAAGTTTGATATTATTGAAAGCTGAAAAAAACAAAATTTAACAAGAAAACAACAAATTTTTGTTACAATGCCACATGAGTAAATCAGGCATATTTGTACTTTTCTCAATGAATTCTCACTCTATAGGGCTGAGATTTTCACAGTAAGTCAAGTAATCAAAAATCTATCTGTGATGTGAATATGAGTTCGAACGGCAATGCTACAGAGGAATAGTCGAAAAGATAAGGTGTACAACTTATGTTGATTAGAGGGATAGATGGAAATGCGTGTACTCATATACAGATTGACTATGTCGCCAATGATGAACACTATCGTGATTAGTAGACAATAAGGTATAAAAAATCCGATGAAGATAGAAACGACACCAGTTAAGATTAATGACGAAGCAGGAGAAGATCACGGGGTAGATTGTACAAAATTTTACTTCATATAGACATTTAACTAGATTATTAAGAAAATATAAATGAAACATAATAGCTGTGTCTATGTTGTAGTTTGGTTGGTGCTGTGTATTGTTTATATTTCTCACGCTAATGATTTGCGTCAGCTGCTGTCTTACATTGTTCTCGTTTACTACGACAGACTTGAGGATATGGCAAGAGTACAATAAGAACCATACGAAGTTCGAAGAAATGAAGATGAAATACTTTCGAATACACATATTTATGAATGCTTGTCTTCTCATAATTATAATCAATATTTTTTGTGTGAAATTAAGTATTTGGGGACGTCGTTCTTTTATTCAATTACGGGGTACAGAGGAATGGACAAGATCCAGGTTTATTGGGTGTGTCGTCGTTTATCTAGCTTTTATGGTCTCTAGTCGTGTCTTTCCATTAATTTCGCCAATACCAAAAGAACAATATTTGAAAGTAAAGAAAAAAGTAATAATGATTTTTCTTCTTATGTCGATAAAATATCTGTAGAATGAATATACATCACACAAATCAACAAAATTACATTTGTATTTTCAATTAGCTGTGATTTGGTGTTTATTTCTATTAGTTATTGATGAGATCGCCATTTATTGGGATCACACTCACTCTTTTGAGACAAAGGATAGTAAAACTCAATCGAGTGTCATGATTGGCGAAAAAGAACAATGTTTTCAATTTAAGAAAGAGTGTAGGTGTGGATGAACAGCATACTCACACTTACACCCTCTTAGACAGTCAAATGATCAATCAATTTACTTCATCTACAACATAATGCCACAGTCCATGCTTTACACAATGGTGCAAAAATCAGGACGATGTCTTTTGTCGTTTGAGAGTAATAAAGAATTTAAAATAGGGAGTTACATTTTCAATCACTCAGTATTAAACAGTTTTTGAATTTCGAACTGCGTAAATTCTCGTTGAAATATCAATGACACGTTTTGGCTAAACAAATGTTGATCTCATTGCACTACTCAGACAGGCAAGACTCTAAAAATGCGTTAGAGGAATCTGAACATGTTAAACGCATAAACTCTTTTCTGAATTGATACTTTTTTTCTCAGTATATTCAAAAACTTTTACGAGTTTTTATGCATTCAAAGCAAGAAACGAGTTTAAATGGCGAAAGATCAATTGGAAAAAGCCATTTTTACACCAATTTCCTTGAACAGGTTTTATTATGTTTAATAATAGCTCGTTAGTTCTCGTTCTTTTATAGTAATTCAATGCATTTAAGCGAATTTGTCTCTTTAGATTCATTAAAACACAGGAACTTTAGTTCGGTAAATTATGCTTATATCAATACATCTAGAATGAAAGTGATTATTTATATATTACTCGGGCTTTTCTCAGGATAACAAATCATTCTTTAACAATCATTAAAAAAATGAAATATACTATAAATACGTCCGAATTCTTTTCTTCTGTATATTTATGTGCTGTGCTAGGCTACTTTCCATTATCGACTTGTTTAACCTGTGTATGTTCTATTTTTCTTAAAGTTCCAACTTAATTCTGGTCTACTTGCGATGTAACATAGTTATTGTTATATTTTGCCTTTCATGCACTTAATACTTGTACGATCATAGAAATTTTTAGGTTGTCTTCTTCTTGTGTTCATAGTTGTTTCTGTGCCATCAAGCAAAATCTTTGCATTTAAAAAGAAAAAAGTGTCATTTTTTGCATCACCAAAAAGCGAAGAATAGCTAGAAATTTACAGAAGAGAACAAAAAGGAAAGAAAAACAAAAAATTAGGCTTCGTTTTTCTGTAGTGTTGTATGCAGAATGGAACAAACCTATATTTTTTTTGATGTTCTTCATGACGTAATATCAATAAATAATGAGCAAAGAAACTATTTCGAAATAAATCGCATGATTTTAACCAGCGTGTAAGACGTTTCTGGTGACCATTCATTTCGGTACAAGGCATTTCGTTCATCATCATTCGTCTCACACGACCCATCCCAAATTCTAACTATTCATTTTTATTACAGCAATATGATTTAGAGCTTATTTTAACCAGTTTAAGTGCTTACTTTCAAGTTCATCACAGTTCAACTTAGAGATTCCTAGATATTGTTCATATTATAGGATTGCACAATTATTCTCAATCGTACATCAAGTTTCGTATAAACTTTTTTCGTTCTCTTCAGTTGTTCATCTGCACGATTGAAATTCCTGTAGTAGACCTTATAATATATATATCCCCCGAAAAAAATAGTGGGTGTGGATGTGGATGTAGATGTGGATGTAAGTATGGGTGATAAGAAGACTAACACCCACACCCACACCGTGATCAGCGCCTAAAGAATCGCTCTGAATGGTTTCCGAAATCTTGAACACCTCTGAGGGAAAGTAGGGGAACTTTCGCAAAGCCATCCCTCCTTGGGTCCGGTCACGATTTTTTTATGAAAAATGAAAACTGAGGAGTCTGCAAAGCTACTCCTCCATCTCGTTGGAATCATCATTTTTTTATGAAAAATCGGGGAATTTGCAGTTTTTTCTGGAGTTTTTTTTGTAGAGAACGAGCATGCTCGCAATGATAGTTCTACTGCAATACAATCCTCTACTCTTATATTTCCATCAGTCCTATGGCTTACGACACTGTCTAGATGAACTTTATCAAATAATAAAATGATGCTGTATACGAGTATATATTTATTTTTATCAAATTTTATTCATAGTAAATCAAAATCTTGATTAATACATCGGATTAAATAAACTAAGAATATTTATTTTTCAAAAAAAAAAGTGACTGAAAGAGAATGAAGAATTTATTTGCATATATTTCTTTTAATTATATTCTAGTGAAACCATGTATTTGTTGATGCATTGCTGTCTAAGAGAATAAAAAAAAATATATTAACTTCTTTTTTTTTCTTTTCTTTCTCTGTTTTTCAATTTCATGACAACTCTACAAACACAAATGACAGCTAATACGCAAAATACTAACAACGAACATATGATAACATTATCAATAAACACTCACGATGAAGTAAGATTAATCATTGAATCTTCAAATCATATTTAATATCTCTCTCTATATATATATATATTAAGATAAAACCTCATTCATATCGGTATTTTGTACCAGATGCTGAACTTCTTTCAATACCTGATGAAGAAGATGAAGTCGATATAGATGAAACGATAGAATATGAAAATCCAGAAAATATTCTACCACTACCAATTTTAACAACTGATGATAGATCAATACCTGTTCGTCCATTGTCGAATTTTTCACAAGCTGCTACTACATCAGTTTCAACGAAAAAATCTCATTCTCGTTCATATAAATTTGTTCAATTAGAACAATCTCTTATATCAGCAAATCTTTTAGAAAATAATCAAGATCGACTTAAATTTCAAGTTGATTATCGTGAATCATTACGTAAAAATAAATTTGAAGAATTTTTAAAAATATATCATAAAAAACTTGAAGATCATAATGAAAAAATTAAACAAGAATATCAAAGAAAAATATCACGAACATTTGGTTTTCTTGATTTAGAGAAAAATTTTCTTGCACGTTATCCAACACGTGATATTAAAATTATATTTATTGATGATCCAATAACACCTACAACACAAAAATTGACGTATGTTAAACAAATCTTATTTGAATTCTATAACTACTATTCGTTTCAAAATAGAATGTACCTGACTGTAAATTGAATAACTTTTGATA